GAGGCGGAGGCCATGCTGGTGAGGCGGAATTATGGAATTTTCGAGCGCATTGGAATGAGTGTTTCGCGTGGTTACGTGGGCCTGTGAATATCGGGAAATATGGTATGATTTGATGAAATTATTTATTCTGAGCAATAATTCGGAGTTTGGCGACGGAAAGAGAAGTTCCTCGTTCATGCTGTCTTCAACGTTTATACTGTTTTGTCGAGACGAATGAGCCAAACGAAAGAATATTAAGTTTTTGTCTGGAAAACAGTAGAATTTTTCATAAATTTAAATTATTCAATAATTTATTATTTTTTTGCATCACAGAGATGAACTGACTGCCGTCCGGTCGATGTCGTTATATCATATCGCGGTGTTTCAGGACCGCATTATGGGCAACCAGCGAAGCGACGTGCTCAGGGGGTTCGTCATAGTCCTTCATCGTGTTTTCACTTCTATTTATGATCGAGTACTTGTCAATCATGATGGTCTTGGGAAGCTGAAAGAGTAGGTCCCCGGTTCGAATCACCCTCGGGGCATTTTGCTTTCACAGATTGAACCAGCGTGGTGCAAAGATTCTTCTACTACCGACACATAGGAGCTACATTGACTTCCTGGTGCTCAGCTACATCTGCTACTAGTAAGAACTCACGGTGTGGCAAGATAGTGAGTGATACCCCGCGCAGGGTAGGGGCGACAACATACCTTCTGGATTGTTGTTTTTCCATGGTCTCTCGTGTTACGCAGGCCCCATTTGTACTAGTGAAGTCGAACTCCGCGATGAGCCTCAGATTTAGCGGCCAATCGGGAGTTGATTGCCTTCGATGTTTCAGTGCCGACATTCGGCTGCCTTTTATCGCTACTGGGGACAACTTCTTTTCTATTGCGGGGATTTGGAAGATATTGCAGCATTCTGGTGAGAAATGACTGGAAAAGTTCCGATGCGGGGACTCGAACCCCGGTCGCGTGGGTGAGAGCCACGAATCCTAACCAGCTAGACTACATCGGAGGATAGATATTAGGATCTTCCACGCGCTCCGCTCCAATATAGGTGCCTTCTTTATGAAACGCTCCTTTAACAGCGAGACTCACCCTCTGTACTCGATTGTCTTCAAGACCTACATGCAAGTCATACTCGAAGAACAAGGTGAGCGAAGGCGTCTCATCCCCAGCGGTTGCTCTTTGTAAGCGATAAAGATTAAGATTGCCGTGAGTATTTCGAATTCATCCGGTCACTCGTTGTAGCGCAGAGCCTCTCCTTATTCTGTAATTTAAGGCTTCGGTTCGAAGCCGTTGAGTGCGTGGCTGTGGCGGAACGGTCAGAAATTTTCGTGGGAAACCACTTGGAGATGGCAGGCAGCTCTTGGCAGTGGGTCTCATTCTGTCAGGATGTGTCGAGATGTTCATAGAGGGAGCTCGGTCGAGAAGCGGCACGATGATACGCCCACCCAAGGTTGGGCTCTTGAGGTTCGCCACTGAGCCGGCGGTCCAGACCGCGATGAACGCGAGTTCGGCTTCTGATTTCACGGGTAGGAACTCAGTCTTCGCGGGAGAATTCGGCTAGAACGGTCGAAGAGGTTAAGCCTCTTCCTCCGATTGGTAAGCAACGACTCAGTTATAGATGAGAATAACAACCGTGTAGTTTCGAATTACCAAAGAGCCCGACCCGATTCCGATCACAGGATTTAGGCTTTCTATAGAGCGCTCCCGTTCAACCCGGATTCATTGTGTGGAATGCCGTCCTAGTGTCCTCGAAAGGGGGATGAATTCACCGAGCTCAGCCAGTAGTGTTCCGATCAGATGAAGATGAGGTTTTCCTCGTACCGATTTCTATCGGATATTCCCGAGTGATGGAAGTCGATTCCCTCGCCACCGAGCTGGAGGGTCGAGCCAAAGTCGCCGAGAGCCTCGCGAGGACGGTCTCGTAGGCGCCGACACGCCATCGCGGCGGTTGCAGGTCTCCTCTGGCAGAGCCTTGCGCTACTTGTCTATGAACTTCGGAACACTGACGGTCCATATCGACCCCGAGCCGATCAAGGTCAGCGACGTTGTCAAGCGGTGGATGAGCGAACAGAAAGGTGGGCAGCCACTTGCCATCTTACTCTCACTTGCAACTTCCTCAACTCTGGAGTCATCGACAGGTGACTATTCCGCTTCCCATGTTCCTCCGAAGTCCCCTCGATACGCCACGCCCTATCAGCAGCTCGCAGAGGAAGTGGCTGATCGTTTGGACGCCAACATGCCCATCCACACCACCCATCTGGTGAGGGTTCGCCGGAGGGGTTTGGGTCGCTGCCCGGCGGACGGTGGGAGGTTGAGCTCAGGTGGCGGCAATTTTGTTGTGGAAGCGACACGATTCGTCTTCCGCTGTAAGCCACGCTTTGATGGTGGACAAGGTGAGGTGGTTGTCATCTTTGTTGAGAAGACGTGGCTTGACGGTCATACTTGATGACAACAATGTAAGCGGTCCCGGGTTCGATTCTCCCCGATGGTATTTTGCTGGATCGCCTTCAGACTTCCTCGGCCGTTTCACGTGTGGCTTCCCTTTACGTCGATCATGTTGTGATCTCCGCGCCAGAAGAAGAGACTGGCGAAGTGAAGTAAGTCTGATCGGGTCACTAGCCTTCTGTTTTTCGCTTATTAACAGACGAAGAGCCAGTCATCATAAAGGAACATTATCTTCTCATTAACTATTACTCATAGAAGACCTAGCGCGTCGCAGCGCGCTAAGACCCCCTGTCTAAACCATCACACAAGCTCGTCTACCGCCTAGGACTCATGCCGTCCTGCTACACCCTCGAACCGCATGAGTTGGTTCAAACCACTTTGTTGATGGTAGGACACACGTCACCCGGTTTCCGCTGACTAACAGACGAAAAATGGTTCTCATGAAGGAAAATTGATTTTTTTGTTTTTTCTTATATTACTTAAAGAAAACATAGCGCGCGAAGATTCCCTTTTCAAACCAACACGAGGGGGACAGCAGCGCAGGTTTCAAACAGGATCAATTTAACCGTTCAGCAACGCGTCAACCACACGATGGTTGGCCGAAGACACGTTAATAGGTCGTCGACCTCTGAGAGGAGGAACTACGAAGATTCTCGCAGGCTCTCGACTGCTCCGTGCAATTGTATCTGCAGAAAGCATTCCGATAATGACTCGAACTACTGCTGTTCGCACCACTTTGCCATTTCCTCGGGATCGTATTCTCTTCTTGACGAAGAGGACATCGTGTAGCTTTGCCTCTCGGTCGAGGAGGTAAATACATGGTTCAATGAGGCCCTATGAGACTTGTGACAATCTGTTTCACGTGCGTATGTCCCGTCGCGTGCGCGCTCTACCTCTGCGTCTCGCGATCCTCCCGAGCAGGGTAGCTACCACCGAACAAGTGGCTCCATTCTCGAGCGTTTCCCCGGTCTCTCATAGTCTCTATAAATTTGAACCCTCGATAAAGATGGATTAGACTCTCTCCGACTCGCGGCGAGTCACTCGCCCCTCAGGTATTCCGTCTGCCCGGCCAACCCGCTGTTCGCTACCCTCTTGCTAAGCTACTACCGTAATCAGCTCATCTATCATCTCGGTCATGAGGCCTGCCTGGTCCTTGCCGCCGGTGACTTGACGAAGCTCTCCTTCCTGCGAACAGAGCTTCTTCTGGAATGCATCCCTGCTCAGCAGCAACGAGTACCGGAGGGTTGCGATCGAGAGTTGAACGATTTTGCCGTGTCCTTAATCGGGCCGGTGGTTGAGTGTTGGTGGGTGGTGGCCTTGGCAGCTTGTACTTACCCTAGCCTCACCACTACCCCCGCGGAGTTGGTCTCGAGAGCATCGGGCTTGGCGAAGGAGATGTATGAGGAAGGGAGATGTTCGTATTTGGAAGCTTGCTCCTTTGACTTCGCTAAGAAGGCTGTCAGAGGGATGGAAAAACGAGGGTAGGTGTTGCAATGAAAATCTGATATACTTTCCGCGCAAGGGATGGTACTCTGACAATTTCATTCAAGCTGTGCTATTGTCGAGTAGGAAGCTCGGGTTGGCCGCTTTCGACGCACGACCGGTTGGTTACTTCGCGGAGAAGCGTCGTGGACTAGGTCAGTGGCGGACCTCTCGCCTAGAATGTCAGCGAGTGCTCGCGGGAATGCATAGGAAGGGAATCGCCCGTTGAACAACAAGAGTCGGAGTTATCGTATTGGTGGAGGAAGTGGCTCATGACTTTGTCCCTTGCAGGTGCATAACGGTGAAGGGTAGGACCGTGCACATCACGGTCGAGAAGATGCATGAGCTTCTGGCTCTTCTTGAGTCGATCAAAGAGAGTATGCCGGGTCTGTGTCGTTCCAAAACTCGCCCGATTTCAGGTCCGGCCCTTCCTCAAGGTAAGGCCTTGTCCAACTCTTCGGAGGTCTCCTGTGGCGGGGTTGAGGAGAGGCAGCAACCCGCGCAGCGGGGGCTCTTCACACAACTACGTGACATGACGCTTGTCAAGCCTCTCGGCCGTTTAAACGGCACTTCGAGAATGTGATGCTCGTCTGCTGATTGAGTTTGGTGATTCCCGAGAGACTCACTATTGGCGGCTGGTTTGTCCTTTTTTGTCATTATCGTAATCATCATCAATAGTTTCATAGGTTAGAACAGTGGCAGAGATCTCAGTAGCTGCTGTTGTGTTGATAGTGACACAAGTTGGGTGAATAGACGGGTGAATAGGCGAGGCCCGCTCAAGTTCAACTTGAGGTTGGGATGAGGAGGGGAGAGTCTTGGTTGTAAGATGCTTGTCGATCGCGGGCCACCGCCGCGGTGTGCACGGCCTCGTGTCCGAATCTTCGAATGTTCGACCTTGTTCACAGTACCACTGTTGTCTGTACCTTTCGCGCGGCCAATCACTCAGAAGGCGCTACCCAACAGGGAATCAAAACCTCCGTGGAGGGACAGCCTGAGCTACAAGACAGACACTGATGTACTCCACGCCTCACTGATATTTGACAGTAGTTGATGGTACGGTGTGGTGGATGTTAGCAGCTCCTACGGCCCTGCTGGCCCAATGGATAAGGCGTCTTCCTCATAAGGCGAAGGTTCTGCGATCGATCCCCGGGTAGGGTATTGGCCCAGAGTCAATCATAGTACAAACTCGTGTCGACGAAGAACTTTTCGACCGAGTTCTCGTCGAGCTGAATCAGCTCAGCTGATTCTCGTCCTCACCGGGACTCATGTGCCAATCCCGCTTTGAAGGACAGCCATGCGCATGCGTGCAAGAGTGTTCACGTCACCAACGGGGTGTTCATGCCCTCTTGGTGCCGGCGTAGACTTCTTAGCCCCGTCAGTCCCTCTTTCTAGGTGGGTAGGACGAATCACCAGGCAGTTAGGCTGGCCAGCGGACTTTTCGAGTCCTGGGGATGATGCCCGTGGTGTTGCATAGAACCGGGAGATGTGGATGGGGAATACGCACCGCCCATTGGATTCGTGAGTGGGCCCTGCTAGATAGAAAGGAAGCTTATCAGTCTCAATAGGCTCCTCGAGGGGAGCCCTTCAGCGAAGAACATGACAATCCCTTCATATCGATCTGTGCAGAAGTGCCCCCAGCGAATGAGCACTTGAGTGGAAGTCCGACCAAGTTGGTTCCGGTGTTGGACTGTGAACTCACCTACCCCGCAGCTCGACTCGTGGCTCGTGCGTTCGTTCGCTTCGCTTGCCTAGCAGTGGCGATTCGGCTAATATATTCAGTGGCGGGGCTTCAGGAGACAGCATGAGCAGGCTCAATGCTTCCTATGAAGGTAGCGCTTTTTTCAGGAGGAGCGTTGTTCTCCCTTTCATGCCCATATCACCCGACCTCTTCCGTCTCCGTCAGAAGGGGCGTTACGGGATTGATTACACTTCGGAGCATGAGAGAGCGCCTTCGCCTTACTCGATACCAATCAAAGTTCGGAGCCCTCGGAGCATCCTGAGGGGAACTTTCCGTATTATCATGGCTCTCATGGTTGCCAGCGTGAACCTCTTCGCCTTCCTCAATCTTGCGATCTTAGTTTGGGAAGATTGTATCATCGAGTGGTCTGTGTCGAGATGGAAGGTTGAACTCCGGGGTCTCGATCTAGGACCCGCCCCGTCATGGCTGGATGATCCACCATTAGATTTTGGTCACTTGCCTCCTGGAGCGGACGAGTATACTAACTTCTCGCTCGACCTGTCCATCAAGAACAATCCGGAGTGGTTACACGTGGAGATTCTCGACGTGGTGCCGGGCGTCGGTGGCGGAAGTTTGGTCATTGTATTCACCGACGACGTTGCCTTCAACGGAGCCGCTGATGTGTCTATCGCGAAGAGGGTGCGATTCGATATCATTAACGAGGCGGATTACTTGTGCCTCCGTCATGTGCCATGGGGCAATGAACCTTTTATTTTGAAGATTTTTTTCGAGGCCAGGAGCCGATTAAAGTGCTAAAGCCTTCCGAGTTCCGAGTCCAAGTACTCGGTTACCGAGTTCCGAGCCTTGGAAATCCCATTCCGAGAGTCCACGGATTAAAGTGCGATCCCTCGGAAAAGTCGATTTCCCGAGGGCTTTTCCCGAGAACCCGGACCGAGTCACTTTCCCCGAATTAAAGTGCTCAACGGCATCACGAGCTCGGTCTCGGAAAAATTCTCGATATTTAGGTGTTTCCCGAGTAACTCGGAAAGAGTGGAACGCCCCGGATCTTTGCGTGCGAGGAGCGTTTCTCCCTGTCGGGATTTCTTGGCGAAGACCCGATGGTTTTCTATGAGTGAGCGCTCATTGCTGGCGAGTGGTTTTGTGGGTTTTCCGAGCTCGGGTCCGGATTTCCGGGAGTCCAAAGACCCTGAAAACTTTTGGAACTTGGAACTCGGAAAGCTCAGCACTTTAATCGACAATCGAGAAATTGCCTCACTCGGAACCGAGTAACACCATTTCCGAGCTCGGAAAAAAGCTCGGATTTTTGAACGCACTTTAATTCATAGTTTCTATCCGAGCTCGGAAAAGCCGCTTTTCCGAGAACTTGGACTCGGAAATCAGAGCACTTTAATCGGCTCCAGGTTTTCCTTTCTTGGCCGTCACACTCGCGGCGTGGCTATGGAGACGTGGCTTCCGCTTCACGCTCTGAAGAGCAGTGCCCCAGCTCGCGAAGCGCGATCTAAAATCACCGGACTCAGACGTAAACTAGCTTGGAGGTGTGCGAACTTGTATCACTATTCCCCTGATGAGATGTGGCCGATAGCGGGAAAAGAATTCGGTGAAATTGTGATGCGCGGTCGAGAGTTTATCTGGAGCAGCAGAGCGCGCCCTTGAGTGCCCCCAGGGGAATGAATATTTTTCATATCACGATGATGGGCCACCCACGGATGGTCGTTAGCCTGGTAGAGTCGTTGCGAAACTCAACTTCGACTGACCGTCAATAGCAATGGTATTTCAAAGGCCCCTTTGTTTAACAGAGCTTGCCATAATAGCATAATTCTCGAAGTCCGCTCAAGTTATGCTACCCGCGCTTAGCTCGGCTCCCCCTCTTTTCTCACAGTTTCTCTGTCTTGTGCTGGTATTGTCTAAAAATTGGTTCAACCGTTCACTCGTGTTGTGCACAGCCCCACCTATCCGTTGCCTTTCTAGGAGAGGGGGACGGGGAGCCATCCAGCGATCCGGGCTGGGTGACTCCGTGCCGACGCCGCGGCACCTCCTAGAAAGACGATTCTCGCCGATGTACGGGAGGGTGGGTGGGTGGGTAAAGTTTTATCCACACTCCCCTCCGATAGGTTCCTTGCGGTAGGTGTGAGCGTTTCACACCCTCGTCGCCCGGCTCTCCTCTCGTTCCCCTTTCCTTTCCTGCACTTTGCACAACATCTCCGTTCCGTTTGAACTTGCTCAATAAATTGAGCGTCACTCAATCATAATGCTAAATCATATCGACGGAGGACTTTTCAACCGAATTCTGGTTGACCGTAGGCTGCTATGGCCAAGTTCATGATGAGGTAAATCCCGGAGAGTTTTATCGACGGTGAAACCGGGACGGATGGGGACAAGATTTGCGTGCTAGCGACATTGGGTAGAGCACTAGGATGGATCCAGTTTCTTGTAATACTGTTCATCCACTCCAGTACCGTGGCGTTCCGTTCTCGACCAAAAGGGGGTAGTCTCCGAGTGGGCTGGCCGCTGCACGGGTAAGAATTGTGTATCCGCTGTGCGCAGCCAGACGCGGAAGCCGCTGGAGTAAGGCAGCAGGGAAGGTAGTTGACGACTGCCCTCCTTGCGACTGCTAGTCGTTGTTAACCCGTGTTACTCTCACTGCCTTCCAGTCCGTCGCGGCCGTCGTTTCGACTTCCAGTCCCCGTGGTCAGAGATGCGAAAGCGGATAGCTGCTACTATGGCAGCCGTACCCTCAAGCGCCGTCGGTAAACAAGGAGCCCGCTTCAAAGGACAGTTATGCGCACGCGTGCAAGAGTGTTCACGTCATCAACGGAGTGTTCGTGCCCTTTTGGTGTCGGCGTAGACTTTTCGACCCCGCCAGTCCCCCTTTCTAGGTTGGGAGGACAAATGACCTGGCAGGTAAGATGGCCACCGGACTTTTGGAGTCCTGGAGATGATGTTCGTAGTGTCGCACCGTGCCGGGAGATGTGGATGGGGGGGTCCGCACAGCCCCTTGGATGCGTTGCTTGGCTAGCCTGGCAGTAGTTCTTCGGCTAATATCTCAGTTGGTGGGCTTCAGGAAGCAGCATGGGCAGGGGCAATGTCTCCTATAAAGGTGGCGCTTTTTCAGTAGGAACGTAGTTCTGCCTTTCATGCCCTTATCCCCCGACTTTCCCCGTCTCCGTCAGGTGGGGCGGTATGGGGTTGGTTACACTTCGGAGCATGAGAGAACACCTGTACCTCCCTCGATACCAATCAAAGCTCAAACCCCTCGAGGCATCCTGAGGAGGAGCCTCTGTATGATTATGAGCCTCATGGTTGCCAGCGTGAACTTCTTCGCCCTTCTCAATCTTGGGGTCTTCGTTTCGGAATATTATATCATCGAAGGGTGTGTATCGAGATGGAAGGTTGAACTCCGGGGTCTCGATCTAGGACCCGCCCCGTCATGGTTGGATGATCCACCATCGGATTTTGATCACCTGCCTCCCGGAGCGGACGAGTACGCTAACTTCTCGCTCGACCTGTCCATCGAGAACAATCCGGAGTGGTTACACGTGGAGTTTCTCGACCTTCAAGTGGCCTTTCATGGGGGAACCTTAGTAGTTTTATTTCCCCGTAATTCAGTCGAACCTCTGATGTATCCATCACAAAGAGGGTTCGCTTTGATACTTTCAACGAGTTGCTATACCTATGCCTCAACCATGTGTCGTGGGGTGAGGGTCCTCTTATCATGATCATTTATTTTGAAGCGAAACTTTCTTTCCTCGGTCGTACTAGTCGAGCTGTGCCGATGACGACGCGGGTTCCGTTCCACGGTCTGGAAGGCGTCAATCTTGGAAGTCGATTGAGTGTCACTGGACGCAGAATGGCGCGGGGGTGTGCAAGGTTGTACGACGCTTGTCGCCAAGCGAAGCGCTCGCTAGTCGTAAGCGAGTACGGCAAGGTCGTGATAAGCGACAAGACGAGCTTTTGGAGAACGAGAGCTCAACTGACTCAGTTGAACTGAGTGAGTAGTACTCACCGCCAGCTCAGCCGAATCTCGAACATAGTGCGGTGGCCGACGAGTTGCTCTATTTTTCACTTTTACACAACATTATCCCCGTGGCGCTCGTGCCTGCTCATCTGCGATCACCGTCAGCTTCGCCGTGGTACGGTTTCTGCGTGTCTCCGCTTCAGTTTACCGTCCACGGCGGTGGCATGCCTCGAATGCATCTTCTCTACCATATTGTGCCACTAGGTTATCTTATTCGACGTCATCTCGTCTCAGCCTCTTTTGTTACTTCCTCACAGCTGTTGTGTTCAGTAGTGAGTTAGTATTGCTGATGCAGCGACGCGATCAATTTCGTTGTGAACCACAAACTCCGCAAAACAATCTGCTATACACTTCTGGCGCCGCGGCGGCAGACGGAGTCCGACTCCGACTCGCTGTGGAGCTCACCTCGATACTACGGTAGTATCACTACCCCAAGTTCTGTAG